GTTGAGAGACGACAGTTGTCAATATAAATTCTAAGCCTATATTTATCAATTTCTTAATTTAAGAGTTCACATAACACTACTTGACAAGTCCTATAATTATTAAGGCACTCATATTTATAAAGAGAGGAGTCCTATATCTATTAATGCTTGTGTTTGGGTAACATTGTGCATCTGATCTGGAGAATCAAAGGTTAACATATAGGCTTAACTTGGCTCTTCAGCAATATGGTTTTCCATTATTGTCGCCTGGTGAACCCTATAAAATGAATATGGAGATTCTTAGGCCCAAGTCTTGTGTCTTCTCTTGACTGAAGTAGTATCTATACCTTTACTACTTGTTGGAAGGAGCTTCAAACAAATTAAAAGGCAGAAGAAAAATTTGTCTTCATTTCAACAGTTAGATTGAAAATTTCTTCAATTATTTATAACTGAAGGATACCTACTTATTTTATGAATGAGAACTGATTAATGGTGTGCTCTTCCTCCCCCCTCCTCCAAACCCAAGGGTTACTGTTACTAGTTTACCTGGCAATTTTTTACAGGTTTCGAGGCATCTGCCATTACTTCTAACTTAAATATAGCACCAGATGTTCGTCGTGCTCTCTCTCTTCTGTCAACTAATTCTTGGGGTTTAAATGAGCCTGGACCAACTTCTTTGGAGAAGCTCATGCATGCAAACCAAATTGGTGTGGCCCAGCCAGTGATGCATGCAGAACTGAGAAATGGGGAAATTGCTTCATCAGAATATGAGCAGGTGGAACAAACACCTTCCCAATCCAGAGTGCACTCGGTGGACCTTCATAATAATGGGAGCAGCCAATTCCAAGAGTTTCAGTTGTTCAAAGCACCATATGAGTCTAGCTGCTTTTATCCCAGTAGAATCAACTGATAAATCAGAACCAAACTAGACCTGCCAGAGGTAAAATAAGTTTCATGCTAAGGTCAGTGGCCCCCCTCCATCTTTGTTGAATTTTATGAACTTCACAATGTCAAAAGTACCTGTATACACTGATCTATTAGCCTTACTTCAACAGTAGATAATGCATTGATATCTGAGTCCTTTGCAGCTGTTACATTTTCTGTAGAGATGTTTCTAAGTTACCCTGGACTGTCTCGGGGTGAAGTTTCATGTGACTAACATGTTTGGTATCACTGCATATATAATATATTTGTTGCTAAATGGAAGTCATAATCGTCCGAGTTTGTATTTTTCTGAATCTAGAGAACAATGCTGGGTACCACCAAAGAAATCCATAGGAAAAATGGTTATGGTTATGTTGATAGTCCTCTGTTAGAATCTGGTGTTTGTATGAGGCAATATCTATGGAACAACATCTTCTTATTTTCTCTGGTAAAATATAGCCATGCAATTCAAACTTAATGTAAGAAGGCAAAAAAAAAAAAATTTGTGAGAGGCAATGTGATGTGGTTTTGATGTGTCTTTTTCCTCATATACAAATGACATAAGTTTTCATTCATACTGCAAAATTTGGCTTTTGTATATATTTTTATAAGTAGTTGTGACTTGTCAATCTATGAAGTTGGAATGAAAATTTGATGGACACAATTTGGACATTTTAGGAAAATGTGAGAAATTTATGAAAATAAAATTATTAATGATATCTGGTTGAATATTTTGGGGTTGAGAAAAAGGACATTTATACACACTTCAAAATGAAAGAATTACCAAAAAATGCATATAGAAATAAACTGGACTATTTTAGAAAGCAAAATTGCTTGCTGACATGCATATAAATTTTGGTTTCGTTAGTAACTTATGAAAAGCTCATTTACAAAAATATAATTATGAGCAACATAATTTGCTGACGATTTCAAAATATTGTTGGATTTTCTCAGATTAGATATGTTCTTTTACCCTTACGGATATCTTTGCCAATCTAGTAGATGCTTTGGCCCTCATACGATAGAAAATTTTGGAGGAGATTAAACCCTTTTTTATTTAAAAAATATATATGTTTTTCCTCTGTCCTCATTCCCTCCTATATATGCATGGAATATCTCTCAAATATCTCAGACACGTTTAGTCTTTTGTTGCTTACTCTCTTGCACCCCACTTTGTGAATATAGGAGACATGCAAATTGTGTTTTTTCTTACACTTTTGGACTGGCGCACAGATGTTGTATGCTAAACTAGGGCGCTAATAGGCATGGTGTGATATGATTATAAAATGCTAATGTGAATCATTTTCTTTCGAATCACAGGGCCAAACCTGAGACATGTGACATTAAGTGATTTAGGCATCAAATGAGGAAACATATACAGACAACATTGTCACATTGATAATGTTGACATATCAATTATTAATAGTGAGAGCGTCCCATGGAACTGTTTCTTCAGCATCCTGAAAGCGATTTGATTGCGTTGGAAATCAAAGTTACTTTGGTTTGCTGCTCAAAGCAACAGAAGTACTTCTAAAATTCTAACCAAGCACGGTATCTTGGCTGAGGAAATCTTCACTGAGTGTTGCCTTGAATATTTTCATAATAGATGCATTTATTTTTCTTCTGTAAAATGATACCTCTGGTGTAAAGATTGCCGTTTGTTAGCTGATCGATACCATTAGGCTACAACTTAATGACTGGTGCATAGTTCTGATTATGAGCCCCTGTGCTTGTGGCATTCCCATTCACTTTCTGTCACTTTGGCACGCTTCAAGACTATCTTGAAATACAATACTTTGAAGCTGAAAGGAATGATATGCTACCTACACCTAACTTATGAAGAGTGAATGGAATTCAACAAACACCCCTGTATCTATAGTAGCCATCTCTCTTGACAAGTGAGCAGTTCCTACTGATCTGATATATTGCTATCTATTCACAGGATCTCAATGCAGTTTTGGCCTAGTTGGCAACTTATTATCTAACCAGAGACCGGGAAGGACATGCATGTTTCAGATTCTGATGGTCAGCTGTTTTCAATTTTTTCCATAAAAACAATGCTGGTACATCAACTTCAAGTGTTTATTGCAGTAGAACATCATGTTGCAATATAATAAAACGTTTGAAAATTTTCGTTTGTGCTATCCGAACTCACCATTATTATGAATTCACAGAAGCTATTGTTTCCTTTTGAACTGCTCAAGGAATTTTTAGAATATTGCATGACCAGTCCGTCTCTTGTTGCTGACAAAATCAACCTGTAGTTATTGTTCCAAGTCCGGGGCCATATTTTTAATGATCTTGTTAGATGATATTTATATGATTTTGCATGAAGAGACTGATATTTGGATGTTCTGTGCACTTGTTACCTGTAGGAAATTTTTTTTTTATTTTTTATTTTATTTATAAATGAACAATTGATTTTTTGATTGGAAAACACACGCAAGGAAAAATGTAGCTATTGAATGAATTTAGTGGATTTTTATGGCTTGTGTTGCATGATTGGATTCGTTGAACCTGCCGGACTAGTGCGCTTCATCTTGCTGCCACCGTTCCATCCCGTGTGCTCCAATTAACGGGGCATGATATGGTCAGCGATGAATTTTCGACTTTTTAGCAAAATTTGAACTGTAAATATCTTTGATCATGAAAGAAGCAGCATAAAGGGAGAGTTATTTGTATTTTTAATTCTATTGTCTTAATGGTTGTTGTCATTGGCAACAAAAGAAAAAAAAATGGAAGACTTTCAAGGCTTTTGGTCACTTTAAAGCATACATAAACAAAAGGGTTTTAACTTGCGAGGTACATAATTTTTAAAATTTTTGTATGTATAAAAATGATTTGGGAACATAATACTACCATGGTCTGTGAAATGGATGCTCTTGGATGGTATGCATCTCATATAGTTTTCCATTTTTCTTTTTCCTTTTTTTGAGGCCAAAAAGTTCTTAACATTCCACTAGAAATCTTAGCCGTTGATTATAACATTTATTTATGCAACTTTGGCTTTATTTTACACAAGTGATGGTTGGTCATAGATTGTTAGATAACCAAATCAAATCCTAATCTCATAGATACACTTGTCGAGTTGTGCGTAAGAGAATGAAAATTATTGTTACAAATGAATGAGCTCGATGGAGCAAAATGAGACCCCGCTATTTTTTTATATAGCATAATCTATAATTTCAACATTTTTTAAAAAAACTTTACACATTTATTCAAACCAATATGGTAATCTAAAATATTTTATCCTAATGAATATTTCATACTACCACATAAATTTATAATACTTTTAAGTTGTGTTCAACTGTATGAAATTGGAGCCTAAAATTAAAATTGGTGAAATTGAAGAAAAATTTGGTTCAATTTTGTGAGTTGTTTTTTTTCTAATTTCAAAAATTTCAATTCCACCAATTCCAAAACTCCAATTCTATGCGACTGAATACTGCATTAGTTACAAATGACACAAATACATGAATCCTAGTGTACAAAATTTTAATTACATAAATGTTTTGCCCATACCATGGAAGACTTTAGTATTGGAATCAAATTATTAACTTCTAAAAATCAAATGAGAACCACTTTGATGAGTATGACATAATTACATTAGTCCTTATAATTAGAGTATACAATTAAGTATAATTGGTAAATTCTTTGAAAACTTCACTCTCAATTATAATTCTAATTTACAAATACGTGATGTAGTTCGAACGGTAGAATGCAAATTTTACAGTCTAATGGTATATCTTTCAATGTTTGAGCTCCAGCGTGGACAAAAAAGGTGTCTGCAAGTAAGAATGTGTGTTTCTTACCATTAAAAATAAAAAAAAATGCGGATTTTAAAATGAGATTCCTAATTATTTCAGAATAGATGAAATTAGACAAAAGAATTTCAAATTTCAAAATATATAGTGTCTTGAAATTTCAAATATTAATTGAATTTCATGAAATTTCAAATCTGTTAAAGTATATATTTTTTGTTTATCCAATTTCACCCTTATTTTGGTATGTTGAATTAGCTCCAAGTCTAACTTAGTGATATCTCTTTTACTTTTTAAAGGAGATGGTGAGAATTTCATGGTGTCTGAGTTTATTGCTAATGAAAAGAAAAAAAAAAAAATTGTTTAAAAAAAAAAAAAATAATAATTCCAAATTAATTCCGGAATTTATAGCACAAGCCAGATAAAAACCTCACCATTTAAAAACAAGGTTCTTGCTGTAGTTTATATATACATACACGCGCGCCGCTCACACACATGTTATACATCTTTACATGTGTCCATATACGACCTAAAACCCCTCTCTCATTATATGTGAATAATACACACCAAACTTAAAACCTTTCTTCACAGGATTTAATTTATTCTTTCGTTTCTCTGTTTTCGTATCGAATATATTAGAATAGGGTTAGATTGTATCGAAGTTTTGATCCATGGAAGAGGCGAGCCAACATGGACAAGTCACCGCAACCTCATCTGGTGGTATATATTCTGTTCGTTCTTCTGATCTTGATTCATATGTGTGTGTATGTATATGTATATGTGACGTTCTTGGTTGGAATTATTATTTTTGATGGGTTTGTTTAATCGCTTGTAATGGGAGCTCTGTTCATAGAGGTTCATTAACGAAGCAATATTGAAGCTTAAGCACCTATGTATGAATATTGTAACACACTAGTCACGCTCTCTTAAACAACACTACCTGAAGTTATCTAGTGCTTGGGATTTCGCGAGTTCGATCGCTTTACCATACTCTCTGCAAATTTTTATTAGGGTTTATAAAATTGGAAATTTTGCTACTTTTATTTATTATTATTTTATTATTATATATTGGGTGGTAGAGTTGGGTTAAATTTAGTCTAAATTGGCTTAGAGAAAATTGCCTAATACTTCCCACATTTTGTTTTTATATAAAAAAAATTGTGATTGTTAATTTCCACATCCTAATAGTGCCCACCATTTGTTTATGTGTATACGCAACTCTCTCTCAATTCATGCCTTTATGGTCACGATTAGGGTTGTGAGGGCTTTGTGTTTGTGAATCTTTGTTGGTGCATATGCATTAATAAGTAGCTTCCTTGGCTAATTGCTTGTATTGAGCTTGCTTTCATGTGCATCTTACCAAGTAACTGGTCATTTTGACACTGGATGCAGATGGGAGGACTGTTGATTCAGATAACTTGACAGAAAAGGTACTTGGTGCTAGTACACCATGTTAGATTAATTACTTTATTTATACATTTTGGTTTATCTAAGTAATATGTTCCATTAATCAACATTTTTTATTTATTATCAGCCACTTCCGCCTGAAGTTGACAGGATTGTTTCTGCAAATCCTTCTCTGGATGCTGCCGTCGCAGGACCTTCAAGTCATGTCGCAAATGAGCCTGAATCCTCCAATACAGATGGAATCACCAAAGCTGCGTACCCTCCAAGTGCCCACTCGCGGGAACAATCTTTATATTATGGAGGTTAGTTCCTTGTTAACTTGCTTCTTTTACTGATAACAGAAGCTGTGAATTCAGTTTCCTTGCCGGAAGGAATTAGGCCATGATTTTGATGGAATATAGGAATATAGATTTTGATGGAATATAGAATAAACAAAACTGTTAAGAGTCATGATTCCCTTTTAATATTGACCCTTTAATAAATGATTTTATGATTGAGATACAAAAATTGGACTCACCTGATATATTATTTGAGCAGTTAATTCATAGTTATTATTGTGATTTTCTATGTTCTGTTGCTTCTTACAACAGTTATACAGAAATTGTAGTAATAGGTTATATCATTTCCTCTTGGCTTCAGGTTATGACAACAGCACTGGTAACTGGGATGAATATCCTCACTATGTTAATGCAAACAGCTTGCAGGTTGTACCCCCGGTGAGGATAAATCTCTTTCCTTTGCACTTCTCTCATTCACCTTCAAATGTAACTCATCTGATGTTTCTTTCTTGTTTGACCCAACTTCGGCAATGGACAATGATAATCCATCTCTTGTCTTTCATTCCGGTTATGGCTTCGATACTTAAGTGGCATACGGACAATTTTCCCCAATAGCTAGTCCTCTGTCCCCAATAATGGTAGATGGCCAGCTATACGCTCCACATCAATTCCCGGTGTCTCCACCTTATTATCCACAGCAATTTTCTCCAACTTTGCCGCATGTTAGTCCAACACATCCAATTTCGCAAACTGAGCTGATGACACCAGGAAGTGGTGGCAAAGAGGGTGTTGGTGACAATATGGTCTTTGGTCCTGGATCAGGTTACTTTGTACATTTTGGATCTTTTGATGGAGGAGACTTTTCTGGCAATGGTTATAGCCCTGGCTTCTACAATTTCGAGGGGGAGTTTGGAACTGGCGAAGTATTACCAAATCAATCAAATCTTTCACGCAAAGGCAGTTATTTTTCCCCATTGACATCAGCACCAGCTTATGCCCAATCAATTGGCGTATTGGGGTCATATGGCCACAACGTTGGACAGGTTTGTTTATTTTTAATATTGAACGTGCCTTTCTTGTAGCTAAGTACTGTTCCTTGGTACCAATGGACCATTAGCCCAATGGTAAATTTTGCTTGTTAATCAAAACTTTATGAATCTTAAAAATAATGCGCGACTAGTGTCAAGTTGCCCATTATTTTTGGGGTTAAAATGAATGTATTTTCAAGTTGTTGGGAGTTTGTAGCTTAAATGTTGAATTTACCATGATATCACCCACTTTTATAGTAGATGGTAGATATTTTCTTTCTTTCTTTCTTTTTTTTTTTTCTTTTGTTCACATGGTGCTCTCAGACCTCTTAGAGAACTCCACAGTCCGCTATCGGGCACATGCAGTTTCCTGTCCCACATGCACCAAGCAATTACAGGAAAATTCATGGGGTGGCCCCAGGCTTTCTAGTAGATGCTGGTCAATGTGACAATAGGCCTTTCGGTTCTGTTTTCTACCAAATTAGATTCGGTTGCATGATACCATGGATCTTGGTTTCTCATACTTCAGTAAGTGATTTAACTGGCCCTAGTTAATCATGATAAGACATTTTAGGGTTAATGGATATTGGTACCTTTTGCATTGTATAGTACAAATTTAGTCGAAACCTTTAAAGCCAAAATAACCAAACCATCCTCTTTGGTTCTTGTTTACTTCTTGTAGTTGAATTAGCTAATACTTATTTTTACCTTTTTCCTTTCCTAAACTGCTGTGATTATTAACTGAGTTTACTGTTAATTGATAATAAACTTGCGTTTTGCACTGGGGGATGGCCATCATATTCAATAACTTGTCAGATGAGTTTTGAATTTTGGAAGCCATGTAATTGTATCCTTGCATTGAACTGAATGCCTCCGGGCACACTGACATAGCAATCCCTTTGGGTGTTATTTTTATTTCGAAATGATATTACCTTCCACTTTTCTAGGCTATGGAGCTTTTGAACAGTTAGCTGAGTTTTCATTTTGGAAATCCTGTAAACTCATTACCTCTGGGCTCTAGACACTGACTTATGAATTAATTGCAGATTTCTCAAGAACATAGACCATTTCATGGATTTGGATTGTCATCAAGTTCCTCCACTAGACACTATCAACATGGTGGCTCATATCAGAGCTCAAACTATGGTGGTGCATCCATTTCTCACTGGGGGGCTAATCATGGCAACCGACTCACTCTTGACAAAGGCGGAAGACGAGAAAGGGACCGTGATTCAATTTGCCTTTTTACTAATTCATAAGGTATCTCTAGTGATCATAATCGCGGACCTAGGGCTTCAAAGCCAAAGGGCAAGAACACTTCTGAAGAGAGCTCATTATCCGTTTTTAACAGAGATAGTGCGTCTACCTCTGGGGTTCATTTTGATCTGTACAACCATCCAGATTTTGTCATAAATTACGAGAATGCGAAGTTTTTCATCATCAAGTCTTTCAGCGAAGACAATGTTCACAAAAGTATTAAATACAGCATTTGGGCTAGCACAACACTTGGAAACAGAAAGTTAGATGCTGCTTATCGTGAAGCAAAGGGGATGAAGGGTCATTGTCCAGTCCTTCTCTTCTTTTCTGTACGTTACGTGAATTCTGAAACTCACAATTTCTTTGCCCTACTTGTCATAGCTGTTGGAACAACTTGGATGACTTGGGATTTATTAAAACTATTCTAAGCAATCAGATTCTTATCGGATGAAAAAAGATAAAAACAAAGGAGGCTATAAATTGTAGTTGTTGGATAGAATACCTGCTAAGTAGGGGACCTAGGGGATATGAGAATGCTTTTTGTTGGCAGCATTTTAGAATTTTTTTGGTCTGTGAAATAGCTATCATATATATATATATATATTTTTCATAATTAGCTATCATATGTGGTTGTTGCATATTCTAATGTATTTCTTTCTATTCTTTTAAGCTTGACGTATTGCAATAGTGGATCACTTTTACTAGTTCCTATCTTTTGGAAGCTGCTACTCCATGTTCTTGAAGCAACAGCTCTTGCCACATCAGTCATTGCACAAGCATGTTATCACTAACATTGAAGTTGATTGATGCATGAGCTAATGACTTTCTGATGTGCGAAGCACCTGCTTTACAAGATGGGATTGGTGGTGTGCAGGCCTTCACACTAGAAGCAAGCTTCTTGTTAGTAGCCTAACATAAATCTGTTAATACCTGTCATTATGTCAGGTGTATAATAACTCTACTATCCCTTGTCGTGTCCACATAGTTGTCCATCTTTGGTTGGTTGGCTAGGTTTTTGTGTTGTGTTTAAGCATTGCTCCGAATTTGTTACGAACACACTTAGTCAGTTGGTCTTATCAACAGTTGCTTCTCAAGAAATATAATAATAATAAAGTAAGAACGCAGGGTTAATAGACTTTTGTTGAGCTCTCTTCTGCTTTGCTATTGATATATCTTTGCATAGTTAGGGTGAAAAAACAGAGTTAATATTCTTTCCAGCCCAGTACAGATACAAATGAAACAATCATAGACTTTTCTTCAAAACTGGTAGGTACACATTAGAAATCCAATTCACTTATGACTGATTTCAATTTTTTTTTCATCGGTCTCTTTTCTGCTCTATTACAATTCTTTTGGTTAATTAGCACTCTTAAGTGTTGTTCTTTGGAACTATTTGTAGGTCAATGCAAGTGGACAGTTCTGTGGGGTAGCTGAAATGGTTGGACCTGTAGATTTTGAGAATGATGCAGACTACTGGCAGCAGGATAGGTGGACTGGGCAGTTCCCTGTACAGTGGCATATTATGAAAGATGTCCCTAATAGTCGGTTCCGCCACATACTACTTGGAAATAATGACAACAAGCCTGTTACTCACAGCCGAGATGCTCAAGAGGTAAACATCTCTCTCTCACTCTCTCGTGTTGTTGATCCTGATTATTGTTAGCCAGATCAGCTGATTGGGTATTGTCAGTAACACGGTCCATTTTTAGTAGATGGTTATTTCAATGCCTTCTCGTTTTGTCCACCTTATTAGATTTATCCTTTTAGATTGTTGTGAGGCTTGGTTAGTTGCTTCAGGTTAGGAATGGCCCATGCATATAGTGATTTAAAATCCGTACTCTGTTTTTCGTTCCCCCTTTGTGGTTACACTAGGTGTTATTGATCCATCTTAAGTTGAGCTAATCCCTGAGCCACATGCATTATGTAAGCGTGGGCAGTGTTGAACTATGATATTTGGTTCCTTACTCGCACAAGTTGCAGGTCAACCCAATATATAAAACCTTTAACTTGATGCTAACTCAACCAAGCTTCCTGACTCAAGCCCAACCTGCTCTCAACTTCTTAACTTGGGTTGGGAAATTGTGCTAAAACTTGTATTGAACTTAGTTAACCTCAGATTGGGTTACCCTCACTTATAATAGGTTCTAAAACTGAATTAATATATAAAAAATTATTACTGAACTCTCAAGAAATTAGTACTTTTAAATGATTCCTATACAAGAAATCAAAATATAAAGATACCGAAACTGAAAAAAGGTTGGTCAATATTATAAATTATATATATACCAAGTTGCATCCCCTAGTTTCTTAGTCGTTAGCTCGGCCGATTCACCTATCACTGAAGGTTGACCTATTTTTTTCAGTGTCCATTCTTCTGTACTAGCTAGACATCACTAGATTCGTGTCAAATTCCAACAGTATACGAGTCCATTTAGTTGTATCATCATTAATACAACCCAACTCAGGGAATCTTTTGTTTGGACTATTAGGATCAGCACTTGGCAGCATAATGTTCCCCATGAACCCCCTTTGTTTATGGTCAAATTATATATTAAAACCATATGCCAACCTGTGATTTCATCTCAATTCATGTGTTTTTTTGGTCTTCCACACATCCTTGTAGCACCTTTTAGTTTTGATCAATAATATTGTTAAGCTTGTGCTGATGCTGGCTCATCAAGTTTCATCAGATATATGGAATATATTGGCAGACCAACCCACCTATCCTACCCCAACTCATATCTATCCCCTTTTAATCTGTTTCCGCTTTGTCTTGAAAGTACATTCAAGTGCCATCATGATAAATTCTGCTTGTCTGTCATTGTTCTCCTAATTGTGACTCGATGTAACTTAGTTTTTGTCTTATTTTCTTCCCTAAACTTGGAAAATTTCACCCAGCTTTCTCTCTTTTGGCTATATTTTTCAGGTGAAACTGGAACAGGGCATTGAGATGTTGAAGATTTTTAAGAATTATGATGCAGATACGTGCATCCTGGATGATTTTAACTTTTACGATGAGCGAGAGAAAGCCTTGCAGAAAAGGAAGGCTAGACAGCGAGAAGGTTCAACCAAGAATGCTTCACTTGCCCTTGTTGATGCCTCAATAAATCAACTTTCTGATAATTTTGCTGGAGCTCTTCAGTTGGAAAATGGGAAGGAAGTTCCCATAATAGAATAGAGTATTGGCCACTAAAATGGGTATGTGGAAGGAATATAACTGTAGCATTGACTCGCACATAAGAGTTAGGTATAAGTAATCTGGGTTCTGGTGTTGTTTTAACTGGACACATTGCCGAAGGCAAATTTTTGAGGTGGTATTTCAGAATTTCAGTCATCTCCAACGGTTTTAAAAAAGTCGTCTTTACTTTTTTAGGGTCTTTTAATTTGTAAACTGTTCAGAGTAGTTGGGTGGTAATTTGGGCATTCTTAGTTGAGACAGACAGGGAAGCTGTGGTACACTACTTGTTCCCTTTTGGTTTATCTTTTAATTGGTTTCCTTGGTGGAAGGTGGTGTCAGGCATATGGAGGAAATTGAAGTGGGATTGTTCGTCATCGGAGCAATCTGTTCTTGTGTGGTTGACTCCATGCTGGTTGTAATTTTAGATTTTTGTTGATAGTACAGAGCAATTATTGCAAGCTGCTGCGAAAAGGAAATTGTAAAATTACCCAATTTGGGTGGTCACTGAAGTAAATGCAGCAACGGCAATTTTACAGAAATTGAACAGAGCATTTCCCATATTATTATTATTATTATTATTATTATTAGTTATATACTTTTTGCTGATCTTGAGAATGATCATTGTTATTATGCTCATGTATGTTTTACATCTTTTGGAATTAACTAATCCCAAGAGGGTTCTGTAGTACATTTTCAATGCAGGCACTCATTTTTTTGGACAGGATCTAATATTTTCCTGGCATCATCTTATGGAAAGTCAGGATAAAGAGGGAAGGATGATTGAATCTTGTCCTTCACTGCACTGCTATGTTATGGGCTACATGTTGGCATCTGCTAGAGTGTAGGTGAGCAAAGATTTGATGCGGTGATAGTGGTAAGTTCTATCTTGTTCAAGATGGTTTTGATCATACTTCCTTTAAAAGTCTTATATAACAAAATGGTTGCTTTTTCTCAAAACGAGACAGGCAAGAAGAGGTAGATTTATCTCAATATTGCATTGTTGCATCGAACTTGAACTTGGACTATTATTTGAATTTTGTTCTGAATTCAGCTTTAAACAATGAATATGTAAATGCTTATTTCAGGACATTCTTCATGCTGCATTTTCTGTCTTCACAGTGTTTGTGACCTGAAGTCGAAGTGGCTGAGGTCTTTTAGGTTAAGATGCGCACACACTAGCATATCAAGAAACTCTTGTTTTTGCACTCTGTAGGATTTCTTTCTTTTGTCTCAAATTGGAAAAATAAGTAGGAGCCATTGCTTTGTATAGCTGAAGAAAATAAATTCTTTTTTTATACCGTTTATTGTATAAACCAATTAGTTAAATGACACCCAAACTCTCACAGACATCATCTTCCCCTCAACCACCCTTCAGAGAGAATAGAACTCGAGATATTCTGAATTGCCATACAAAGCCCTCATAGCATTGCAAGTTTCAAATCTCAAACTCGTATCTCTCAAATACTTCACAATTTGTTGGTTTTTATTTCTAACTCCTGTAGTTCTTTATCAATAAGACTCGATTTTTTTCACTTCACAACTTGTTGCATCTTGTGGTTTAGGGTTTATATTTCGGCTCTCTTTTTTAGCAGTTCAATCATTCAGGTGTTGTCTTTGTTTGATTTACCTATCTTCTTGCTTGCTATCTTAGTGTGATTTACACTTTAATAATACATACATACATACATACATATATATATATATATATATATATATATATATATTTCACTGTTTACTGTATTAGCTTAAGCCTCAAAACCTACCATTGGGCTTGTGGTCCAATCACAACCACAATTCCCTGTGGGCAAGGTTTGCTTCCAGAGATCGTGACTGGAGCTGAAATTGATTCTGGAAACACCTAAGTTGGAAGTAAATATGTAAATCAAAGAAGGGTTAGTCGTCTCTGTATGCAAGAAGTTCCTTGGCTGAGGTTTGGGGTGGATTAGGATCATATCCAGCACACAACATTGTACCCAATCTGTACTCCCCCAACCTAAAGTGTATTGAATCTGAATTCTGAACTGAACTTGCTTACAATACCAACAAATAAAATTTAAAGCATTGATTCCTTCACATGTGTTAATTGGGCGCATTAGCTTATGGTGGCTAGTATATGGATATCTTATGTCTTAAGGTGAAAACTAGCAGTTCACCTTGTGAATGAGCCAAGTCAATAGATAAGTCCGCTTCAACTCTGAGATGGTGTAAATTAAAAAATGATTCATATGAAGTTAATAAAGTCACAGAATTTTGAAATAGGAGCACAAATATGTTTGAAACTTGGAAGGCAATCCCAGTGAGTTTCATGTTAGATGTTATTCAGAGGTTACCTAAATTTGAACCGTCTTATAAAATGGACAAAAGCACGGAAGGGTCTATAGATCATCAAAGGTCCAGCCTTGGGATGCTTGAATTGCTCATAGAGGGTCTTGCTACCTGGCTTTTCTGGATGTGTTAATCATTTGAATTTTGTATAAAATAGTATGGGTAAGCTATGCAAAGTCTGCTATATGCTGTAAAGCCTGTAATTGATTATGAAGAACTAGTATGATCAATCCCAGTTTAAATATGCTCTAATCCTAATATAACTGGGATCTAATGCCACAATGAAAAGGGTTTTTAGTGTGCTTGCTAATTTCTGGTCAACCTGCAGATGGATGTCTAGCTCAACTGTATTCATATGTTTGTGTATTGGTTGCATTGCTTTGGCTACAATGATGATTAAGAACCTTAGCCCTGATTATGGGTATTTGTTGCCAAAAGTACTGGAACTTGTTTCATGTGCAGCCCATGTGTGACCAAAAGGTTCAAAGTGGTGCATGACCATCATAACACAAGACATGGTAAAACATAATCTTGTGGTTCTTAATGCTTCTTTTTTATTAGCTAATAATCATCTGCAAATTACCCATATTTTTTCTGTTGGTTTCTGTAAACAGGGGGAAGTTGAGCACTTAATTGGGGTAATGGCAGTAAACGTGCTAAGCCACTCCAGAAACTGTATTCCCGAGACTATGGCAAAAGAGAATGAAAAACTGGTACCTACCCTTTTCCTGGTATGGTAACAATCTTCCAATAATATTGTTAACCATCTTTACAAGAGGAACACACTTCTAGTACTCAAACTAGAACCAAACATTGTAATTCTCTGTTTATATACCGAAATCAATATGGATTTTAGAGTTGTGTCTCGTACTCTATTAGTTTAGTTTCAAGGCTATGCACTTCACCTCAACATTTTGAAGCCTTCTAACAAGTTTCTTGAATTGTTAATGATTTCATCAAGATCATTTCTGATGTTGTGCTCATCTTCCTACACTCACTCATACAAGAGTAATAGTTTATTTGCTTGTCTAGGAATGATGCCTTCTGTAAGATGGGCGACCTTGAGTTGCTTATTTACTTTTGCTATAGTTTCAGTCCATGGCTAACTTGTACAGGGAGGTATGCCCCTCTTGATACCTGTACATGATTGATTTCTTTTCAATATACATCTCAAGCTTACCCTACCAAAAAAGGAAGAAAAATCTTGCTCATGTACCATATGACCAATGCTTTGCAGATTCTAGAAATTGCTGGCCTGGCTCATTATGGATATTGGGAGGGAAATATCCGACATTTGGTATAATTTGACACAAATATCCTTTCCCTCATTTGGTTTCTTGTTTGCTTTACAGTGGCAGTAATTGAGTTGTTTATTTCCCCCAAAAAAAACTCAACCAGGGGTAACGGTTAGATACTGAATTAAGTTACAGTCAGGCAACCTGTTGACATGATCACTAAGATAAATAATTCTTGTATTTGTTATATTTTATTCAGTTTTCATGTTGATAATGTGTACTACTCCGAAGAATTCAATTTAATCAAGTTTAATTGCGTAGGAGATATATTATTTAAAAAAAATGGTTCAACTATTATAGACCCTTATTGTTCCATTTACAAACAAATAAAAATAAAAATAAAAATAAAAATAATTCCGGTGTTTTGTTGCAGGTATTGGATAGTCCTGTATTCAAGGGTGAATGTGCTTAAAAAGCCAAAAACAAACTGAAGATTTTTAAGATCTTGGAAGACTTGTATGAATGCATGATAATTCAAATTATGCTCGCATCTCCTCTTTCTAGTTAGGATAATTTCGCTTACCTCCCCTCTAGTTAATAACTTTGTAACAAATACACCCCTCTGATGAGTCAATGTTGACATCATAACCCTCTCATCCTAAAAATGTCTATACGTCGCTAAAGCACAAGCGACAGACTACTATAGCACTGGCGACCATTTGTATTTTGTTGCTAAAGAATAGCGACGAATCATTGCTAAAGTACTTTTGGGATATTAGCAATGATTCTTCGCTTATGTTTCAGTGATGAATTATATTTCGCTGCTAAATCATGAGTTACGAAACCACCGGGCAAGACTTCTATAGTGACGAAATCAATTCCATGGCTTAAAAGGTAAATGAACAATTGATTTGTTATTGTTTGCTGAAAGGCTAAACCTGTCGAACTCCCTAAAGAAAGGAATATCACCAACAACTTACACTTCATCCCTATCACAACAAATTTCGTTGCTAAAAACATACAGCAACCCATTTTTTAAGATTTGCAATGATCTGTTTCGTGCCTAAGGCTATTCTTGTATTCCCATTTCCCCCTTGAAGTAACAATCCTGTTGCCATATGGATAAAAGTTAAAAAGAATAATTTCCTGATTTCCTTTTCACCTGGGTAGAAAGAATAAATAAGCTGCTCTTAAGTCTTAACATCCTCCCACTTGAAGAAATCAGGAGAGATCCCGAACAATTACTCTTAACCTATTACGACATTTTGAACTCGCCGTGTGGTTTGCTAATTGAAAGAGAAGAAAAACTTGCCAAAGACACTTCATTAGCCAGCCTAGCTTCCAAAGGATTCTGAAATTACACATATAAAGACACATGTAATACAGAAATAACACAACAGATCCTGTTCATATAATGCAAATAGTTGATGATGGTAGAATTTCTGCCTTTTGATGCCAGCTCAATTATTTATTTAGCACTGTGCTTTCAACTTTTGCAAGAGTTCAAAGAAGGATTAGCTCCAGGGGGAAAAGCTCATTTTCCCAATTGGTAGAACAAGCAGCATCCTTCAATTGGAGTACCACAAACAGAATGTACAATTACACTCTTGCTCTTATAGATTTGTAGACATCAATGTATTTCCCAGCCATGTTACTCCAGCTATTATCAATTTCCATAACCTTCCGAACAATGTCATTCCATTCATTTGGTTCTGCATAAAAGATAAAGTAAGGAGAAATAACGGTTGCAGTCACCTTATATTAAAGCCCTATACCATGTTACATTTCATAATCTCTTTTAAATGCACGTCCGCCCATAAAATTTGATGGAAGTATCAACTACCACCCACCAATAAAGTCATAATCTGAAGGATTAAACGCCTATTTCACCCCTATTAATAATGAACCAAGAACAAACATTTGGAGCACGAAACTTTTTAACTGGCTGCAAATGCTTGAATTGGGTGGGGGAGAATATGAAGACAGCAACATCTTTTACCAATCAAGTCTTGGTGCTTGTGTAGCCTTTTAACCTATGAGCTATGCCAATATCAAATATAGGACTGGGTGGTTGGGGGAAGGAAAAGGAACATTGTTGACACAAGATATACTGGTCTATAAACTTTGCTGAACTTACTCTCTCGGTAGTGCGAGAATGCACGGTCAAGAGCACAGCTCAAGGATCCTTCGTCAATTCCATCAAAAACAAACCTTCAAAAAAAATGAACACATATATTAGCATTGGTTAAAAACTTGTCTAGAAAGAAACTTTCACAATATAAAAGTGTAAGGGCTTCCTCACTCCACAATTTTCACATTTCAGTTAGCTCTAGATCACTTCTCTTAAATATTGAAAGCTTATAAAGTTTAACTTTTAACATCACTCTGCTACCCTAATCCCGACTACTGTACATAAATCTTTTAATGTCATTCTGACCCTTATTTTATGGATAAGATCACAGTACCTTGAAAGCTTGTAATTTTTTTCTAGAAGGGACCACATCAATATTTATTTAGAATAGGTAGAATGGTAAATAATGCTGTTAGCAAAAATGAGATCTCACCGATATCTCTAATTTCAGCCATTATTTTCACAGTGGCTACCTCAGATGTTTTTTCTTCTAAATTCCCACATGAGATCCGAGAGACAGCAACACCACTTGGGCATCAGCAATGGAAGCAATCTTGCACAAATTGGTAGTAGCAATGCCATTGCTTGAAAACTCTTAATTATGGCATAGGTTCAAAAAAAGCTCATAGCCTACCTCCCAAACTGAGGGAAGGCCGCTACATATGCCCCTTTCCAATGTGCAAGTAACCAGTATACCTCTCTAAAGGAGCTCTAATATCGCCATATTTGTAAATTTCTACCTTGGTAACATGTTCAGTTTCAACCAGGGCTTTGGATCAAGACACATCTCGTCATCTCACATGGGAGTTTGAAGGTTCAAGTTTCCATTGGGGCGTGTGTTTGTGTGCTTGCTAAAAGGAAAAGGGGAAAAAAAAGTTAATTTTAGAATTTTACTATGGCAACTATTGACAATTATGATGTTATGTCTCAAACTCTCTTTATGCAAACATACATAACAGACAATAGGATTAGAATTGCACACCCTTGCATAACTTAGTAAGATAACTAACCCTAATTTAATTTTATTATTATTATTTTTTAATCCTAGCAAGAAGCTCACACACACATTCCCTATGGAGACTTTAACCCTCGACCTTCTACTTTGGAAGGTGAAAAAGTGCCACTAGACTACAACACTTGGTGATAACTAACCCCTAATCGACACCTTAATTGGCAGGAATTCCTAGTGTACAACTCGCAACTCCGTGCGAACAATCTATAGACAATTACAGGTTAAGAAAATGCAACTACAAAGAAAAACAGGTCAAAAAGAAAGATATGATGGTGGCCTATGATTGTAAGGCCTAGTTTGGTACGCAAGAAAGGAATGGGCAATCCATTCCAACCATTCCCTTGTTTAGTATGCCTAACATTTAAAATAGGAATGACCATTCCCTTGCAATGAAAATCCATTCCACATTACTGAATGAAAATTCATTCCAAGAAATGAAATTCTTGGCCACCACCTCCCACCACCACCACCACAATTACCGCCACCGCCCTCTTCCTCCACTGCCTTCCACCACAACCGCCGCCGCTGCCACCGCCTTCCACCACATTTACCGCATTCCATCGCCTTCCACCACCACCAACACTTAGATGCGATTATCATTCCATTCCTACATCATTTCATATTTGCAACCAAACAAAAGAATGAGAATGACCATTCCATTCCATTCCCATTCATTTCATTTCTGCGTACCAAACTAGGCCTAACAGTAGATAAGTCCTAGATAGAGTGGATATGTTAAAAGGTTAAGTTTAACTAATAAGTATCAAGTCATTAGCAAGAAAAATGAATTACCCGTTAGCCATCTCAGGGTTTGCCTGATCATCCATATCAAAGACTGTGTCAGCAAGACCACCGGTCTTCCTAACTATCGGGACCTGAAACAATTATTATAATGCTTCGTGTCAATACAATCCGGAGGTTAATATTCCAAGTCTATTGGACATATGAAAACAAAATATAGTATTGCGAGTCGATTATAACAAGGACTGTTTTATAACATGCAATAAGAATTGAACCTTAATACCCTCCCCCCCAACACACCACAAATGTGTCTAACCTACGATATTATTGGTTCAAGATCAACTATTCTTATGCCACTACTGTCTATAGTTTAGATTGTTTCTCAAGAATTTACCAGCAAATAGTGCACATAGAATTTAGTGATAAACTTTTGTTGATTATTACCCGAAACAAGAGAGCTGGGTTCTAAGAATATACCGCTCCGTATCGCATTCCAATCATCTGAGTAAGTCCACATGGCTCGTATATGGAAGGAACCAATACCATGTCTGCCGCAGCATAAAGCATATGTGACAGCTCCTCGCTGCATGCCAATGAAAGCACATTTAAAATAAGAAAAAGGAAAAAAAAACAAAAGGAAGAAAAGAAAAGTAAAGAAAGAAGGTGACCAACGTTGATCACATGTTTTTCAGGATATGAAAGGTAGTATAAATCATTAGGAAAGTACCTCATCTGTTATTAAAGAATTAAAAATAAAGTCTCCAAATAATAAAATCTCAAAACTGTTCAAAAATATAAATTCTAGAAAATTCTAGAAAAAAGAAGGAAATTAACAGATTTTTGTGAATAGCTGTTTGGTGTTTCACAGATAATTTACCTGTACATCAAAAGGATCCGGATGCTGGGACCTTGGTTGTGCTACAGGAGGTGAAATAATTGAATATCTGTCAGCTTGTCATGTTAATTGTATAAAAGAAGTAGGAAGACAAGAAACAGAAAGGATTAAGCAATTTACTTTTTGACAAGAGGTTTTGTATTTTGTGAAACATAGAACGTCTCTCTCTCTCTCTCTAAAGGATGCGTGTCGTGAAATTTAAAGCTTCCTCCAAAATTTAATTAGTATCAAGAACATTTCCAGGTGAACTCCCACTAAGAAGTCTCCACCACCAAGAAATATCCACAGAACTCCATCTATGGCTTCCGCAGCACTAAAATAGAAAAGGTTGTATTATTAAGAAGAAGAGCTCTTTTTGTCAAAATGTCAAGTAGCTGAAGGTTGTAATCATGAATGGTGGGCAAATAAGATCAATATAAATATCAGATTCTCCTCAATGAATTCCTCCTATCTACGCTCATCTGATGCAATGATGAAACTCTGTATGCTTATCTGATGCAATTCTAATATTATTTTAAACTTCATCTTCCTTTGCGTAACTAAAGTCGGATATCCTTACTCTTTTATACATCTTTGAAAACCCCCAAATGTAATATCTTCATCAACCTTTACGCCCACCAAACCCACTGACAAACAGCCAAAGGAAACCCCTTCACCACAGACCACATCAATTTTGGTGTCATAACTTGTACAAGGGTGCCCCCTTCCCCCATCAAAGAAAAAAAATAAAAAAGGAAAAAATAAAAATAAAAATAAACTTGTCCCGCATCAAGCTCATGCCTGGGCTACAGGATAAAACAAAAGAAAACCTGAATCTGAATCACCTGGTGGAAACATCACTAACCTGAATCTGAATCACCTGGTGGAAACATCACTATTTTTCCCTCCTTCCCTTCCTTTTATTTATTATTTACTTTACTGGGAGTAACATCAATATTCTAGCGCTCTTGTAAAAAGATATTATCCTAGCATAATTTGACATCAACAAATCATTACCAAATTTGCAAGATCTTCAAATTCTTTTTCAACCCGACCATCTGGAGCTTTTCCAAGCACAACCATCTGTCCACCCTACAAAATGGACTCCACATCAGAGCAAAAGAGCACCCATCAAAATCCGAACTGGAGGTTGGCTGAAAAACATTGGCAAAAAATGTAATAAACAAAGCCTAGAAAAGTATCAAACTTGCTAAAACTTTCATAAACAACAGGAAATAAAACATAAAAACAACAATCTGACTTAGCCTTGAATAATGTACCAAAGACGCATGTGTGAAACACTAAGACTCTTAACCATGTTCGTATTGCACAGATACATGAATTAGACTTGACTAAAACACCACAGCTACCCAGGAACACGATAATGTCCTTGTCCTTGTGCATAGGGGCTATTGCATGGAATAATGGTAAAAACCTGGGCTGCAAATGTAATAACACAGGTTCAAATTTAAGAAAGGCCACTTTGCAATTTGCACAAAAATAATACCCAAGATTAATGTTGTATCAAATTCATCCCTCCTGGCACCCCGCATAGGCGAGACTAATATTGGAATATTGGATAATGGCCTTTGCCTCCACTACCTAAAACTCAAATGTGCAGCAAATCACATACTAGGCGTTGCTAATTTGATACCCTTAACAATGGTTTACATGTGTGGGGCTCAATAATGTTGGGTACAGCAAGTAACTATAGTTTTATTTTAAGCTAAAATTATAGACTAACAGAATTCTCATTATCATGATTACTCAGAGTTAGCTAGACTTATTTTTTGGTTAACCAAGAGAAAACACAAGGGTAATGTGGAACAATGACATTAGATCCAAATATCCAATAACTTACAAAGTGCTTACATGTGTGGGGCTCAATAATGGTGGGTACTGCAAATAACTATAGTTTTATTTCAAAGTACGAATTTTATGACCAAAACTAGAATTATGGACTAAAAGAATTCTCATTATCATGACTACTCAAAGTTAGCTCAACTGATTAGAAGGATAACCAAGAGAAAACACAAGGGTGATGTGGAACAATGACATTAGATCCGAATATCCAACAGAACTACAAAAAGCAGAGCAGATTCTACTATGATTGACAAGATGACTGGGACCAATGACAAGAGAATCAAAACCTAGGGTTCCTGTTAATCCTGGGAGGAGTGGACTAGATATAGATCTAACCTTTGGCACTATTTGCACAAAGTGGCTGCTCTTAGGATTCGAACTAGCATTCTCATGCTTGAGAGACCGAGCATTTTAACAGTGCACCAATCAATTGCCCCTTAAATGGGAATCAAAACCTTTTCATTCCAAAATTACCATAAGAGTGTTGAATTATAAAATTTTGAGGAAAATCAATGGAAAGAAATGTCTAGAAACAATTCTCTTATAATAACATATGCTCACTCAGCCCTAGGACAGCAAGCAGCCACAGAATGGAAACTTTTTATCAGAAATATCTTGTAGGGTCATTTAAGTCTAATCACATGAAATGAAGGGAGGTAATGAAGGAAGCTTTGTCTACCAATTTGATTCTCAATTGAAAGGTAAAAGCTGACCATCGTCATCGGGGAATGGGTAAAAAGTTGAAAATTTGTCGACCCAATCTAGGGGAGTTGTCACCAAATCCAAATTGATAATATTCACTGCTGCACTTTTTCAAACTGTAGAATAGGCAAAATATATGGTCCAGTCATCACCATTGGGGGAGTGCAGGCTGTAAAACTTCCTAGTTCCTTTGAAGTCGTGTAGGATACATTTGGCTGTTGTGAATTTTCTTTGTTAGTATATGTGATGTTGTGGCCTGAATTTTGGATTTGAAGTGGAAAAATGGAGAGACATTGAAAATCGCAGATAAGAGAGTGAGAGTGAGAGCAAGAGCGAGAGCTAGGGTTTGGGGGATGAAACTTGTAATCTCCATATTTTCGCATAGTGAATTCTTTCGTCAGATGTTCGCCGTGGATGTAAGCTTTGCCGAACCACACGAAATCTTTGTGTTCTTTATGTGTGGCGTGTTTATTTTTAGTCGTGTTTCTTGGTTATTTCTTGGATTCGCTGTGTTTGTCGTAACAGTATACACTACAGAAGGTGGCAGTCTGTGGTTGGGGCAAGAAAATATTACTTTTCCCCTACACATTCATATAGAATATAATGGTTTTACAACTTTTACTATAAGCAAATTTATAAATTTGGTCAACGTACGCCAAACAAGGATTTACAGCCTTCCACAAATATGGACATGGACACACACTATAAGGGGCCTTTCCTTCCATTTATGATGAAAATACATATTCCACACCAATTTAAGGTTTTCTAAGGTTTCAAATTAGGCAGGGTTTTCTGAAATGCCTAAACCATCCAATAAAAGTGTAAAATTCTTACAAAATAGCATGGCTGGTTGCTTATAAACATGCCATGACCCACAGTGTGTGTGTGTGAGAGAGAGAGAGTACAAAAAATATCAGAACAGTAGACTTACTAGTTCTTCGACAAGCTTAATTGCATGATTAATCAAATGAAGACCTTTTTGGGCAACCAATCGAGTAACGCATACAACCAATGGCACCTTGCTTGTAATATCAGGCACATTGATTCCAGCTTTAGCGCCTTCTGAAGGGAAACCAAGCCCTCTTTGAATGAAATGTTTGCATATCTTCTTCCCCTCAGTTTTATGAGCTGGAAAATACAAAATAAAATTTAAGTAAATAGAAAAAAACAGAAAATTTATACATCTTTGGAATTAAAACGTAAAGACAGATAATCATAACGAGATTAAAAATAACTGCGTCCAATTCACAGCGAAGCAAAAGCAGGAACCACAATTACATTATATATGTGATTACTTCACAATGGAACATGGGTACACAGGTAAGGTATAAATAACTATAAAATAAAAAATATTATGGGTCTTTAGACTCTTTACTTATCAATATATATGTGTGTGTATATATATATATATATATATATATATATATATATATATATATATATATATCATGGGTCATTATGAATGTAAGCCAGCACGTAATGAAGAAAGGATCCAAATTTTTCCTTCACATGCAATCATCTGCACTTGATGAAAGTAAATGCCAATCTCATCTTAATGTAAGAAATCAGGAAAGTAATAGACGCTAATTTATTTGCTGGTCTACATTGCCTCTGTGATTTTTAGAAATCTAAAATTGTCTCTTCTAGTTCTCTAAAATATATAAAAGAAATATAAGAAGAATGATAAAGTAAAATCACAGTAACTTTTCTAATAGAAATACATGCATATTCAAGGAAAGGCCGAGACTGAGTGGAATGCTACCATGAAATTTAGCTGGCAAGAAAACATCCGTAGCGGGGTTCCATATCTCAGTATCTATCCCATTTAAAATACCACAGTACCTACAGGAGTACATAGCATTACATTTTTAGGTCAAGAATAATTAGAATTTCTGAACATGCAATCACAAAGCTACAAAAACAACCAAGCCTGATGGCAAAATACAGAGTTAGATATGCACAAAGCAGTTCTGCATTGTTAACATTCCTTACAAAATTCTCACCTTCTGTGTCATGTGAGCCCATAAGGAGAAGTGTGGCTATCAAGACTGGAAGCAGATACAATTGAACATGCATGTAGCAGAAACCCTACATTAATAAACATGCTAAAAAATTCTTCAAGTTTCTGAAATCATGTCAGATTGCTTAAACTGCACTAAGACACCAATTATTATTGCCTATATTATGTGACAAAGACTCTGATGTGTGCCCAACAAAAATATTAGCTACTTGTTGAAGGGTTAAATAATATAGGTTGGGTTGAAGGGGTCGCTAACAAGGTAGGGACATTAACAGTGAACCAATCTTGGAAGTAAAGCATGATACATTCTTCCTCAACATCAAGTTCACCAACTACAATGATAACGGCTTCATTCATGAGAAACACGATACTGATATGATAGGAGGATGCCAAAACCAAGGAAAGAAAGACGAATGCACCAAATGCAGGTGCATTTTGTTAGAATGGAAACATCAATCTCTGTTGACAAGACAAAGAGAGCTGCAAGCCTAGGGCCTTGTTACATTACATCCAAACCACCGGAAAATGGAAATGTCAACAAACATTAGACAAATAGAAATAAAGATGTTCCATTGAAGCTTCCTAAGTAGTACAGACACGGAAACGAACATGATACGATACATATACACCGACACATCAAATCCTAAATAAATAGGACACAGACACGGCATGAACAATGTGTGTGTGTGTGTGTGTGTGTGTGTGTAAGCTTTTATTTACATGTATAACTTTTAATTAATTTTATCTTCCATACTAGGAGTTGCACAATTTAGAAAATGAAGCTATGAAAATATTGTACAGATTATTCTTTTATATATGCTATTACTATCTTACTTTGTCATTATAATTATATTTTTGTTCTATATGAAAAAACGTAGTGTATGATTGACTTCTAGAGACCAAGCGAAAAATGTCATTTTTTTTTTTAAAGTGAAAAAGGTTAAAACTTTTGAGGTCTGTTCATGTTACTTCCAAGATAACGACGTGAATACTCTTACACGTGTTAGTGTTATATAATGTGTCAGCCAAATGTCCAAAATAATAAAATTTAATTTTGAATTATAGACACGTCCATGGAGTGTCAAATTTTTGTTCAAGAGTATCTGTGAAATATCCCAATACAACACATGGCCAACATGGACTTGTAGAGATCACGTGAACAATGTCAAAAAATAAAATATAAAAATCATTAGACAAATAGAAATTTCAGACTACTCCACGTGTTAAGTGTTATATCAGACTTGTGATGCGAGTGTCTAAGATGTGTCAGCCAATTGTCCAAAATAATCAACTTTAATTTTAAATTATAGACACATCCATAGTGTTGAATATATGTTCAGGAGTATCTGTGAAATGTCACTATCCAACACATGTCCCACACAGACTGACACATTCTTACAGGTGTCCGTGTTTCTTAGGAGTCTTCTACGCAAGTTTGGGTTTTGGGGGGTTTGTTGGCTGTGGGAAATAAGGCTAAAAATGAGACTGCCAAATGAAATACTAAGTTTTAATTCTGATGCGACTTATTTGTGGTAGTAGGACATCCTTTTTACCCATGTGCAACTTGGGAAGATTTAGCCAAAACCCATTCCAGCTCTAAGCTTTGAACCTTTAAACAATGAGTTGTAACCATTTTTTTTTTTTTTTTGATAAGTAAAAATAACATTAAAAAAGGCGTTCAAGAGGGGAACGCGTCCCAATTACAAAAGTGGAACCGGGACTAAGTTGTAACCTGTTTTTTGAAGGATATATATAGTGTGCTTTGGTTTTTGTCTCTGCATATCTGAAGAACAATTGAAATTTCTCTTTTCTAACCAACCTAAAAATAAGAAAAAGATAAGTTTTTAAATAATATATAATGAAAACTTTCCTTGAGCATCGATATAATGCAAATAATTCAATTACGAAGCATAAGCTCAACAAAGAGCGGTTAATCGTGTCATGAGATTTCTGAGCCGATGATAAAATTATCAAGAAAAAGGAGTTTGGGATGCCTAACCTGAAATGAGCTCTGGTATACAATACAATACCAAAGTCATAAAACACTAAACTAGGTAGGTTTGATGTTGGAATTTCTACACATTTGCACCCTGCAAAAGCAAATTAGATTTATTTTCTGTCTTCAAACTGACATCAACCATCAATAAAAAAATTCTTCCATGTTATAGCCGAATGATCAACAAAAAATGATCCACCCCTAGGTTTATTAAGTCTAACCTAACAAAAGTTACAAAACAAAGGTGGAGGGCACAATGATCCACATCACCAAACATCTAATTGATCAAAAGGAAAAAAGAAGGTACATAAAGTGTGTTAAGGGTACCGTAAAGTACAATTATGAACACACTTTAAGTCTTTTGTATAACTGTGATTGTGTATGCTGTTCTTCAAAGACTTACCTTGTTCCGATTCTCTTTTAAGATGAACCACCAGTTGTCTAGCCTCAGTGGCATCTCCAACAACCCCAACAAAAGGGAGTTACAGATTTCAAGTCTCAGTTGGGACATGGGATGAGTGTAATTTGCACTTATAGACACACACATATATAATTAGATCTTTCCATGTGTTTCAATCACAAGTACAGGCAGTTCAAGAGTAATACAAGGCATGAAAAAAGTAAGGTTTTCTATAAGTTCAAGAGTTAACAAAATTTACACTGAAATAGACAAAAGGAGGAAGGGAGGCAATGAGTAATATATAAATCTGCTTACTTATCACGTTGTCTTATCAAAGTGCTTGCAAGCCATCCGGAACAGAGTGTTTCCTTGAGGTATGTTGGAGAAACTGTACTGGAAAATACAAAGAATCATAATGCATTGACAATATTATGTGTTTATGTGCATATATAAATGTATTTATAATATCATAGCCATAACTATAATTCGAGTGATTAACAGTTAGTTCTTCCAACTATACGCAATTAAGTTGAGAAATGCCCCATACAGTGTTATAAACAAAATCTTCATTTTTTATTACCACTTAAAAACTTCAGCACTTAAAATTTTCAGTGTTATCAAACAGCACCTTATTTTATATAACTTTTTACAATAAAAAACGTTATCAAAGAGAAGGAGAAATACAAAAGGAAAACAAGTCTTTCACAGCTTAAAGAAACTGAGCTTAAATGAAATGTGATATGCAATGTCACACAATCTAAGGCCACTTACACTACCGCATTGCTGTACACGATGCCTCCTTTCAATATGCTCAACCTCTCAGGATTATGGCCAATAGTCCGTTCATCAACAGCCTGCCATAGCAAGAGAAAGAGAACTAAACATTTTAGTTGTTAAAGGTCAATTTATTAAGAAATTCTTCTGGGGACGAATGATAAGCGACTGAACAAAAAGGATGATAAACAAAACTCAAGTGACTTGAATCAAGTTCTCTCAATCAGAAGGGAAAAAAATGTCAAGCCAAATTTCTAGCACGATGATCCCCCCACAACAACCCCCCCCCCCTGCGCGCGCGCGGGTGATGAAAGATAAAGTTTCTCTATAATGAAATTTTCGTTTCTAAACAGAAACAGAGATTTGACATAAACTATTTTTATGGATGCTACATCATTCCATAAAAATAAAATAAAATAAACATAACTTAGCTGATGCCAGAAAATCTTATTACCCTTCTTCTTTTGGTAGATAAGTTTTCAAAAATAAATAAAAATAAAAATCTTTGAACATTAATACTTCTAATTTAGCATGAACTATGAATTCTCATTTCCTGGTTGCTCTAACCCACCCTGTACAACTACATGGAACTAGGAGGTTCTGAAATCAAATATATGTGTGTGTGTGTCTAGTTCCACATAAAGAGCTCACCTTGTCAATAGTTGCATATAGAGATCCATCAAGACCACACTTACTGAGTTGTTCTTTGCTGCCAAAAGAAAATAAGTTAGGTCCACAAAGAGATCTTGACAAACCTGAGAGAATTTCACTACATGTTTGAGCTTTTCTCTAAAGATAAATTTATAACACCGCAAAATCCACTAATGGGCACTAGCAGCAGTACAAATAATTCATCGATATATACAGTTCCTTGGTTTTTGAATAATTTGAAGTGAATCAAAAGTGTTAATAAAAAGAGCTACATGATGCTTTTCCAGAAAGTATGGCAGACAATGCTTCACAAAAAGATATGTACAAGAATTTAAATTAGAGAATGAAACTTTTAGTGAGTTGTGGTGTCTTAACTAGATCTATCCAAATTGAGGGAGGTTTGAAAAACAAAACCTCCACTAGACTACATAAATCAACAAATGGATTCGGTGACTGTTGTGTTACAGCTCTCCACCTGATTTACAAAGTGAGACATTGGGATAAAAAATTTCAACATGTGCCCATTTACTAGGTTGGGTAACAGAATCAACTATTACTGATACCCCTAAGCAGTCAAACGAGTACCATAAAGATTCGACTACCCAAAAAGAAGAAAATAACAAATTACTACCCCTAATTAGCATTTGTATGCATGTGAATGTGTCCTCTGTGTTGGCATGTGTGTGAATTTCTACGTTCCTTATTCATTTCAGGGCATTTCTTCCAGAAGAAGTAATTGTATATGGATGCAAAAGTAAAAATAAAAATAAAAAATGGCACTCCAATTTAAGCTATATATCAGAAAATTGCTAGAGTGCACAACCCAAAAATGCATACTTTAGCAAATTAAGCTAAAAAACCCTCGTCGTCGTCATTGCCAACATTCCCTTGTTATCATCCTCTTCATTATCACCAACATTCTCATTCTCCCTTGTCGTCCGCATCACATCATTGGTAAAATTCTCTTTCTCAACACCATCTTCGCCACTCCCATTCCCCTCAACCGTGTCTACAATGATATATGTGAACTGTACACATTATGTAGGACAATCCATTCATTGACAATTAGTCTTTCTTGATATCACACACTCATATTGAACTCGGAAGCTCATAAACAACTTCACTTCTATATACTTGAAAATTTGTCCATTTAGTATGTTTTTATGTGCTGATATTTCATAGTTTAAGTTGATGATTTCTTCTTTATGTAGTAATTTATGACCCATTGTTATTTAAGGGTGCATGGTATATTGCTCATATTATCACTTCTATATTTTGGCATGATAATTGAAAAACCTGTGGGTGCTGATAGGTACATGAGGTTTTCCAGACTGAATTGCAGAATCTAATTGAGAATAAAAAGATTTTACAAAGTAGATAAATCAAAGACATCTGAAAGAAATCAAACTTGATTAAAGTTTTTGATAAAATTTGGAACAAAAGTAATGAAGGGTTGGAGACACAAGATCAGAATGACAAGAGATGCAAATAAAAAAAATAAAACAGAGGAGAGAGGGAGCACGGCTCCATATAGTAATAAAATGAAAATTAGAAAAATAAAAGAAATTTGACTCAAAGAACATGACGAAAACCATATGTATACCTGCATTCCCCATAATGCTCCATGTTGTGAATTGTCAATGCTATTCTGGGTTTCTACAAGGTGCAATATGTCAACATTACAATTTTAAGCCAAAAAAAAAAAATCTCTGATTTTTATTTCTAACAGATCTCAAAGCAGCAAAAAGAAAAGAGCTGCAAAAAGCCGCAGGTCATACCTGGAGTGAGAGATGATGGTACATATCCCAGTAAAGCAAGGGCAAAGCACCAGTCTGCCATTCATGGACATGTATGATATCAGGCTGTGTTCCAGTAACCTGAATAAGAAAATATTTATTAAAAAAATAAAAAATAAAACATGGTTTGAGAATAGCAAATACACATGAAAACCAACTAAGGGAACCAAGTGCTATTATTTTTTGAAGAACTGTAACCAACAATCATTAGAGTTAAAAGACCTCCTAATCAATTATTTTGCTCACTTCTAAAGCTGAAGGGCAAAAGCAAAGTACATTAATGATGTCCTACTCAATCATTCTTGGTTAAGTTCTTCAGAGTGGACAAGGGATATGAAGTTTACCCTGCTCTTTTGAAGCTGAATGGATAAATGAATTTTTTTTTTTTATTTTTTTTTATTGCTTCATGGAATAAGTTTTAAAAAAACAAAACAAAACAAAACAAAAAGAAAAATAATTAGTGTTCAACTTACAAACACCCATATTTATTTTACTCACATTCAAGAGGGTCAAGCTACATTTGCTTCAGGATCAGTAAGTTGACTTTAGTTTTTACAATCTGTTTGGCTGATTGTCAAGAGGAAGCCATCTTCTTTTTCAGTGGTTGAAATATTGAGAGATAATACCTACGAAATCTAAACAAGTTATTGATTATTGGTTAACATACCTGCATCCATTCAAGGCAAGCACGGGTAAAAAACAAATACGCCTCCAGTTCATTGTATGAGCCTCCATATATGCTTTTCCCCTTAAAGAAGTAGTTAGATGTTTCAATAAATATCACTGGGATGCCTGAAACTATCCCATGATATGCACTTGTAGGGACCCAATTTCCATCATGATATGAGTTATATGACGTGATCAATGCCAACTCATCGATCTGCTGCTTCTGAATACACTCATAGAAAGGCAACATGATATCCACTTTATGGCCACGCAATAAACATGCATGAGCAAGTCCAGTTACAACATCGCCTAGACCACCAACTTTTGCTATAGGTGCCATTTCAGCTGTCACATGAACTATATGCATAAGATCGGAATCCTTTTCTATGTCAACAGGAACTTTGGAGCTGATATCCCATGAAGGAAAGTCCCTCTTCCAGAAAGGAATTTCGTCACTAGGAGAAGGCCACGCAATATCCTTGAATCCCAAACTAGTTGAACCTTCTGTCTTGTCAGCACCTACCTAAAGGAAACATAAGTAAATAATTCTACTAATCGTATAGTCCAGTGAATAATAGCTACAATACATGGGCCTACAGTTACGCCAAAATATTGATTTTCCACATTTCGATTGGGATGTAATATCAATTATTTCAAACCTTTCACCCACTTAGGAAATAATTACAAAACAAAAAACCTTTCATCCATAAATTAGTTATTGTATTCAACAAAAATAAAAGCATTCATGATTTCATTTCAAATTGAGTCGCGACCAAATCCAAAGCCAGCACCAAGATCCTAATACTTGAGCCAATTGACTGATGGAATTGTTTGTGACCAGACTTCACTCCTTTCGAAGATTTTCCCAGTCACTGTAATAAATATAGAAATGAGAAATTTTATTCTAGAACTGGCCAGCTTCTACACTACTGACACAATGCATGCTTAACATAATGCAAATCTCAATCCAATAGATGAGGGACCAAACGTCAAAGTTAACCTCAATTCCAAAGTTGATACTTCCATAGACCAACTCTGCATTGATGCCTTTGTTTGAATCTTCACGTTAATTACTTCCATATCCAAGTCTTAAACCAACTTCTAGATTGATCAAATAGCAAGGTTAACCCATAGAATGACAACAAACACCACCGAACCTTCTGAACCCGACAACCCTGATCTTACCTCACAAATCCATATTGAGACTTCTCATCTTCTTACATTTTCCCATTTCTTTTCCAAAATACCAACTCTAGACTACCTTAAATTTAAATTTTGAAACTTCAAAAATGGGTAAACTTAGGGCATATATATATACACATGAGTATGTGTGTAAAAAACAAATACTAAAAGGATTCAAACTTCCAAATTTTACTTGGCAACCAAACGATACAAAAAAAAAAAAAAAAAATAGGAGAGAGATTAAAACCTGAAGTGCTTGAAGCTTGAAATTGGACCAGTGAGGCTTTGATCTAGTCAATGAAAATGTCTTCTTGTTGTTCCTCTCTGTATTGCCCACTTCTACAATCCTTTTACTCAGATGATGATCCAAAAAAGACGAGCAACCAGTTAGTGAAGTATGAGGAAACCTCACGGAAGTACCATTACCGCTATAAATAACGAACGCTTCCATAATCTACTATCTATATATGCATGAATATATATATATATATATATATATGTATGTATTAGCGCGCATGTATATATATAACCACTGCACTGACAAGTGAACAACTCGGCTCATCAATTGATCTCTGAATCATTTCAAATCAACCACGTATTGATATGGATGCGAATATGCGATCTCCTTTTTGATGCTAGGGACGAGTGAAGGGAATGATCGGACTAGTCCGAACCCGACTCCTATCCGGGTTTATGAGTCTTTACTCTTGAATAGGTAATTCATCAAATGTGATGAACGACAAATTTTTGGATAAGCTATAACCATTATTCTATTACCTACTCAAATGATTTGGTACTTTTATATTATTTTTGTAATTTTTTATGAGTTTAGGTAGTACTTTTTTATTCCAAGTAAATTCAGCTTTTTAATTTTGAATTGGGTCCAATCAAGTTACTGCCACATTGGATGGAATAGTATAAATTTATCTTTTGCATTACTGTATTATAAATTTTATTTTAAGTATTTGCCCTATTCTGAAACTAAAGTTGTTCCAATGTTGCATTTTTATTTGATGCCGGGAGGGATGGCAATGTACAGGGAACTAGATTGGATAGCCTCATTCAGAGGGTAATTTTTTGCTTTTTTGACAGTTGTGGGTTAATGATGGTACACATTTGTCTAAATTTGTAACCGGCTTATTTAATTAATAAGAATTTTATATCTGTCCTATATTCAGGACGGGTTAAAATATCAAAGTCTATACACGTTTGGTGAAAAATAAGTGAACCCATGTTTGTCTCATCCGGTTCGTTTATGTGTTTTTTTTATGTTTCGTTTGAAAAAAAAAAGAAAAAAAAAAGAAGAAGATAATACTAGTAATGAGAGAAAAGAAAATAAAAGAAAGGATAATAATAACCTGTATTCATGTTTGGATAAATTATAAAAGAAAAGAAAAGAAATTATAGTATTCTTATTTGGAAAAAGTAGATAAGAGAAAAGAAGGGAAAAGATAATAACTAAATTACTATTTTATCTTTTTTATTTATATTAGAAAATAAAACACATATAATCAATAACCGGTAGTAAGTGAAAAAAAATAAGTTTCTAGGTTATAGGGACATAAATGGCATAACAAATTTAAACTTTTAATTGTTAAGGGTAATTTTGGTATTATGAATATATTACTTAAACCCCTTTCCTTTTCTTTCCCTCCAGGATATGATATAAAGGGATTTCTTCACTCAATCCAAACACAAATCACAATATCCTCTTCTTTTTTTTTTCTTTTTTTTTGTACGGACCCTTAATGTGGGCCTAAGACCAATAACTATTTAGATAACAATATAGTAGCAATCCAAAAAAAATTAAAAGCCAAGCAAAAAAAAATATATAGTAAATGGGGATTGGTGAATAGGGTTAGGTTGGTATATATATATATATATATATATATATATGTACACACACAATAATATTTTAAATAAAAAAGATATAGGTTTTATCAAAACCCATTTCTACTCGTAACTAGCGATGAGTTATCATTTTTTTTTTTCATACTTGTCGAATTTATGGTATATAAACGATTCTCATACCCGTACCATTAAGAGCGAGACGAGACACCCGGCTGGCTGGACAAATTGTGATGGTCAAATTTTGCATCAGAAAATAAATGGTTACTAAAGTATTACCTCTGGTTAGCTTCCGGAAAAGAAAAGAAAAAAAGTACTACCTCTGGTAGCAACCGTCGTACACCTTTGCCACTTAATTTACAACAAAATCAATTTTTAGGCTTAATATTTTTCTGGAAAAAATTTTGTAATAGTTTTTCTATTTTTTAAAAAATGAATAAAGCTCAGCAAAAGGGTTCTTTTTGAAAACATATTCTAACAAATTTACTATGATTGCTTGCAAAAAAGAAATGGGTAAATCAATTATAATTGAAAGTAAAATCTGTCAAAAAAAAAAAAAAAAAAGTTCTATAGCTTGAAGGATTTCATTAATGATCATTCACGGTCACTCTCAGCCCCCTTCAACTTATAATGGTCCGATTAAAATCTTTTCATGCTCAGCTTATAATGGCTCATGGCTCAATTAAAATCTTTTGATGCCCAGTGTCACAAGTGAATCTGTCCTAATCGGCGAAGAGAATTAGCGACACCTTACGAAAATATTGTTACGTGTGACTTTGCATCCCAATATTTTTCTAACATACATCACAATATTCTCCTCACCTCACCGACTGGATCCCAGTCACTCTATGTCACGTGCAAGGATTTTGATCCTATAATGGTATGAAGCTATTCGTTTTTTGCTTTTTTGTAAGAGGCATCGAGAGAAATATCCACTCATGGAACATAGAGTCTCTTGATCAACCCTATAAATGTCACCAAAAACCATTATTCATTTAATATGAAACATCTATCAAACTTTGAGAGAGACAATTAACTAATCAAGGCTACATATCCTTCCCTAGCCTCTTTTAGGTTGCTCAAAAAACCTTTTCTGTCCCCGAGGTTCACATCTGTCTGTTTTTTACAATTCCCACACCCACACCCACACCCACACCCACAAACACAACTGCACATGCGTTTGCATGAACACACGTGCCATGGCCCATAAGTAAATCCGAACTACTTCATCTGTTGTTCTCGCAGAGCGAGCAACTCCGCCGATAAAACTCAAATCTTTTTCAGACATCACGGCGTGTTCTGCATCACAAACATATATTACCAGCATTTTAGAGGCAACGCTCAACAATCCCATAACATAATATGAACATTAAATTCCGCAATTGCTAAATATAAAAGGACATTAACTTCTATCCAATTAGGATCCAGAGAACCTGCAACTTTTTGAACAAAAGAAAAACTAAACAAGTCAGCTTTAACAAACAGCAAGAAAGAAATGTATAAATACACATCAAATCTCCTATATTACTACTATTCAACAACATAAATCCACAAAATACAAAACCACAAAACAAACAGTTTTTTATCACAACTTTCCCTTCTTTTTCCTATCTGAAGAAAGAAATTAACCCTGATAGATACACAAGGCTGACATAAAATCACCTTTTTCAGTTTTTTTTTTTTTTTCCTTTTCCATTTCTTTTCTGTTCTTCCTCTAAATTACCTGTTTTCTCTGCATCAATCCGTAGTCATTGGTTGACTCATGCAACACCTGAAACGGGCCTTTCGGACTGTTGTCATGATCTCAGTTTCTGCATTTTCAAGCATTCTGACCACCTCAGTAAAAGGCGGCCTGACATCAGGATTAGCATCCCAGCATCGGGTCATGATCTCACTGAGTACAGGCAGGCAGTCGTTGGGGATGTTTGGACGGACACCTTTGTTGACAACGGCAAATGCTGCCTGCACCGCTGTCATGTTCTGAAAGGGAAGCATCCCTGTGATGAGTTCCCACAGAACAATCCCGAAGCTATAAACATCTACTTTCTGCGTGTAGGGCCTGTGCTGGATCATCTCCCTGCAAATCCAATGAACACACACATTCAAGTAATCCACAACAAAATATTGGATGCAAATAAATAAACAGAACCAAGTAGGGAGCAATTAATATTATAGAAAAATCACTAAAGCAGTAGAAACAGATTTCAGTAACCATTAAGTCCCATGCTATCCTTTAGTGCAGAGAAATAGATATTTCCCCTTGCCCTCCTTGGTGCTATTTCTAAACGTAATGCTTATTAATCTGGATGTCTATGTTAAAACACAACACCACTCAAGTGGCATAGACAGTACTACAGAAATATCGAAGACTTGATACCCTAAATAATTCTGGAACTTGCTATGTGCCCTACTTAGGCTACTTTAGACACCATTCACTAAGAAATGTTGTCCGCGCATTAGAGGTGTAAACAAGCCAAGTGCAGTCAAGTTTTAAACTGCTCAAAATCTGCTCAAATGTCAAAGAGGCATGCTTGAGCTCAGCTTCACTTTTCTCCCAGCTGTTTGAACTTCGTCTGTCATGCTAGATGACCTTCTCAACCTTGGTTTGGGTACCTTGACATTAAATGATTTTTAAAATACATGAAGTTTCTGGGAAAATCATTGTACATTGAAACATTTTCAAACAAAGAGTATCTCTAAACCACTAAACACACGCACATATATATACAAGGGGCAAAAGACGAATAAACAGAACTGTCAGTCTTTCGCTATGGTACGTCTTTTACGGGGAAGATGGATTGGATGTAATTGACAAAATGCCATTAGATTGAAATGAAATTACAATTTTATCAAAATGATACACATAAAAACCACTATTGCCTTCTGAAACAAAGTATTCTGCTAATCAAAATCATAGGGTTTTTTTTATTTTTTATTCTTACATACTCTGAAATCCTTGAGAAAAAATAATTTACAGAGGTTTTTAGTTGGATCGTAAACCCCAAAAGTAGTTAGAGCCACTATTTCAAGAAAATCCCATAACATCACCATTGATGCTGAATCCACCAGCACTCCCGCTACCTACTCCAGGTCATTGCCACATATACCGCCCACTGCAATACTATTACATTATCATGCAACCACTGCCACCCACAACAACCTGCCTATTGCAGCTGCCAGACCATAATAGAGGCAATGCTACCACGTCCACCGTAACCACATGACTGTGTCACCATGCAATCTGTAGAAATTAACGTCCTTCATTTTTACAGTGTCCTCATTGCCAGCGAGTGAGTGAAGAAAGCAAAGAAGCTGGGCTAGGTTTCGGGTCAGCAGACATTGAATCAAATCCCACAACAGTTAGCAATCCCTTTGTGTAAGAGAGAGGGAGGCCAATTGTTTGACAGTGGCCTCGGAAACTGAAGTAGAAAGACCATTTATCCTAAAATATGCTTATTATGCAGGCTACGGACTAATCCAATTGAACATATACTTGTCTTTAGTAGTATAATCTGGTTCACTCTGCAGGCCAGTCCATTTGGCCATTCATGTATGGTAAATTTGTAAGCTAAAGGCGATGTTTTGCCACAGCTTCCACATGGTCATTTGTAACATAGAAAAATAAGAAGATAAATTTGACCGCACTCATGATAGTGGGAAGAAATAAATTGAGTTTTTTATTGCAGGCTTCATTCTCTAGGGGGTTCTAGGAAGTTTTGCTCTCAAAGATCATTAGAAATTGTTGTTTGCAGTAAATTTTCAAGTCTTTCTGCATGGAGGCTATAGTTGTTTTTAGAAGCATAAGCGTAAGGCAGGGCATTTTATCGACCATGAGGAAAGGCAAGGCATTGAGATGCAAGTCTTTCTACTCCTGGATTTAACATAAAGGAATTATAATAATTTATTCAAATTAGTAACAAAGTGTTTAAGGTGATAGCACAAGGTAAAGTGTTTTCTCCCGCGAGATGAAACATAAATCTCAAATCATACAAGGTAAATTTTTTTCATTTTAAATGTTCATAAGAAACTATATATATAAAACAAGTAATATATGAACTTCCAGAAAGAAAAAACAGGAAAGAATAAAATAATAAAAAATTCTAAACATTATATAAGCACACTAGCAGATAAAACAAAGAAGTCAAAACTCCATCACTAATCATTCTCTGTTTGGGTTGTCTCAAGGTTTCACATTACTACAATTATAATGGTATAAAATAGTGGTTCTATATTTGCTTCAAATTCCGAAAATATATATATATATATATATATATATATATATTTATTTATTTATTTATTTATTTATTTGTGGTTCTATCAGGACACATGGCTGAAGAGCTGAACATAACAAGTTTTGAATACGGCTGAATAAAAGCATGTGTGATATAATTATTTTATACATAGATAACAAATTAAATCTGTTTCATTCTAAACTGATTCAATCAATTAAATGTATAAATAACACAAAAAAGAAGCTTGATACTGGTAATAATAATTGCCAAGATGCAAGAACATTTGATTCATGTACCCAAAAGTAATTTCAGCTAAATCAGCGTGGGAAAACAGAAAATTGTGCTTAATTGAAGAGTTTTTCATCCATATATGGTTAAACAACTCAAACCATCATCAATCCAATTATTTATAGGCAATAATGAATTGAAAATATCAAGAGCAATTAAGATTTTCATGTTCGTTCTACATTTCTACTTAGGCATTTCCAGAATTTCAGCTATAACTACTGATGCTTTTGCATTTCTTAAGACAATAACACTTAATATAATTACAAAAGGGGAAGAAACAACCTCGACTTAACACCTACTAAAAACATAATGTAATAAAAACGGATGACTAAAGATAAAGAGAAGCCACATCAGCCCACCCATTCCCATCTAAATTTTAAAAAAAAAAACCTGACAGAGCACTCTCCCTTAAATAACTCAACCGCAATAGCCCTTCTCTTAGCCATTTAAAACCTCTCCCCCTTTTGCTAGGACTTGGCCAGTCTAATCAGCTTCACCATTATCCAATCTGTCATTGATCCAAAAGAAAAAGAAGCATACAAAGAACAAGCAAAATTCAAATTTTGAGTCATGGCATGGGAGGATCTTTAAGAGCCACTCCTTTTGTCCCTTGCCAGATAACATTAAGTATCCCTCCATCAAAACATGCAAACACCCAAGCTTCCTTTTCCTTGGGGGAAAAAAAGGTCAGTAGCTAAGAATCAATTTCTTTGGTTATATAAGTTTTCCAAGCCATACTGCACTTGCAGAAGACAGATTAAAACAGTGTAGATTCCCTTACTGCACATGCAAAAGGTAGATAATCAAACTTCCCATGGATCTCACCCTTAAGCATGCCAAGCTACCTCACAAGATCCGATTACTATAATAGTAGTAATCTCTCACCGTGCTCCAACCCATATCTTAGATTATACAAAAAGATTAACACCTTTTTTGTGGCTTCATCAAGCAAATTTTCAAAAGAATGAACTCACGGAGAAGTGACAAGTGTATGTCTCATTTTTGTGTCTTGTGCCAGATTTATTCAAAATCACATAAAATCGAAACTAAAATAAATTTATGTTTTTGTGGTAAAAAGTGATGCTGTGGCTTGAATTTTGTTTCGGCCCGGGGTGCATTGCGAGCTAGTTATTTGACCCATTTTTTTCTCTTGCAGGCCATGGACCATGTTGAGTACTCTCTTGTAGCCCGGTATATAAGGGCATTTAGGATTTGGAGTGGGATCACGAGAGAACATTGAAAATTGCAAGAAAGAGAGTGAGATTGAGAGCGAGAGCTAGGTTTTGGGGGATGAAACTTGTAATATCCTGATTTTTGCACAGTCAAATCTTTTGCCGGATCTTCACCGTGGGCATAAGCTTGCTTTAAGTCGAACCACGTAAATCTTTGTGTTCATTGTGTGTGGTGTGTTTACTTTTCTGTCGTGATTCTTGTTTTGTTTTTGTTTGTTGTATTTGTCGTAACAAAAAGCACAGTAATTTATAAGGTGGAAGTATTAAGTGAAGGGGGAAAAAAAAAATAAAAAAAATAAAGATAAAGAAGAGCTTCAAAGAGAATAAAATAAAAGGATAACGGAATAGTGAAAGAGAAAATTTCCATAGTTTGCTAGTGAATGTACATAGGCGCTCACGAGAGAGAGAGAGAGAGAGAACTTACTCATTAAAGCATAACCCCACTTTTCATATAAAGAAGCTTAGATATGGGCTTTACAGAACCCTGTGAACTCATTCTCTTAACATAACATTCATGTTCTTATCCTTGAACCATAAGCACTTCCATATAAAGAAGCCCGAGCCATAGGAGTTCTTTAACTTAAATTTACTCAAGCTGCTGAACATAATCTAGGATATAGGAATTCTTATCAAAGCTGTCAAATAGTAAGGTTCTCGTGGCTATGCTACCAGCATGTGACAATATCTAATTTATCAGAAACAACCATTCAGATGCATCAAAACCAAACTACTTGATAATAAAAAGTGATAGAAAAACTTCCTGTACATAATTTACACAAAATAAAAATGAGTGAAGAGAGGTCCCCTACATTCTGTTGCACCAAATAAAACTATCTCCATAATTACGCAATGACATTCTAACAAGAGTGTTTTCAAATATATCATGAAAAAGGTCCTCATCTCTCTTAGATGTGTTCCTAATTTACACAAAATATAAATGAGTGAAGAGAGGTCCCCTACATTCCGTTGCACCAAATAAAACTATCTCCATAATTACACAATGACATGCTAACCAGAGTGTCTTCAAATATGTCATGAAACAAGGTCCTCACATCTGTTGGATGTGTTCCTATCTTTCACTGTTTTATAGAATTTTTCTTCCTTGCACGGTTTTAATTGTATTTCAGAACCACATAATTTATGAAGGTTTTCCATCATATGGACATTTGTCCCTTATCATCTCGATAAGAGGGAATTTTAAAAGTCCTTTTTTGGTAGGTAAACTATAAAACATTATCATGGGAGTGATTTTGCTGGACTGGTCTAGATTAATAAGATTAAAATACAGCAGAAAGAACTGGAATATGACAAGCATAGACCATAAACAAGAGGTAAATAATGTCAAATATGCATTTCCATCTCTCATGAATCTCAACATTTAAGTAAATAACATAATACAACCATCAGATGAATCTGCCCAATTTATACAGTGAAAACACCAGAGGTCAAAGGAGCAAGTAAGTTAGAGAACTAAAGAAGGAATCCTCATAATGTGTACCACAAATCATTTATAATATTTTTCACTAGCAGAAGTTAAAGGTATTCGACAACACTAATAGCAACACATGCTAAGGATTGCACTTTGCATATTATAGTCAAACAGGTAGATTGCAAAGTTATTCTAAATATAAAAGATAACAAACCAAAACAACAGACACCATAGAGTTCAGGAAAGTGTTCTAATAAAGATAAAAGATAAAGGAAAGGAAAGAAGAAACTTGGAAGCTGAAGAGTCAAGAGGCTTACGGAGCCATCCAACGGTATGTCCCTGTTTCGGGTGTCATCCCTTCTGTCTGCACCTCAATTCGAGCAACCCCAAAATCCGCAATCTTGATAGATTTGTCTGATGAAATTAGGAGATTGTCAGACTTCAAATCCCTGTGAATCAAATTAAGCCCATGCACATATTCCATTCCCCTTGCAACATCCAAGGCTTGCTTTACTGCCAATTTCAAAGGCACAGATCGGTTCTGCCGCTTTGTTAAAAACTGCCGAACTGAACCCCCTTTCGCATATTCTGTCACAATACACCATACCACAGGCTTACGACAAGCACCAATAAAACGAACTATATTTGGATGCCTCAATGTGGCAAGCATCATGAGTTCCTGCTGAAACTGTTGCTCCATTAAGTGTGCCCTCTCTGGGTCACTCTCTGGTCTCTCCAAAAGCTTGATGGCAACATCCAGACCATTGTAAGTACCTTTGTAGAGTTTCCCAAAAGCACCCTGTGCAAAAGCCGCTCCCATATTGAGCATCCTCAAATCAATTGTCCACTCATCGAAATTCTGGAGTACTTCTGTAGGGACGCGAGGGTCCATCAAAGCTTGAGCCAGGGCATCATCACGAAGGCCATGAGAGACTCCTCCTCGATTAACACTGTTGGCAACAGAGTAATTGTTGTTGACACGTTTCAATCCTTGGTGGTTTAAGATGCGAGTGTGGGAATCATTCGACCCAACACTACTGTTATCAACTGACATAGCGACGGACCCTCCACCATTGCTCATCTGCAAGCTCCCAAAACTGTCAATTGACATGTTGGAACCCTCACCGAGTATATGGTAGATACCTTGTGATAGATCATAATTATCATGGTGGTTGTTAAGGCCTATAATATTGGTGAATTTAGGACCCTCCAACATTTTGTTCAACAGCGCAACACAATTTCAAGGTGTCCTTATGTCTCCAGTGTCAGCATATCCCAGCTCACCCAAAATACCAGCACCCTACAACCAAAAACATGACAAATCATTACAGCACCCTGAACTCTTTATTCCCAACCCCTTTGATAATAATAAACCCTCATAAATTGCAACAGATTTCTATTCAAACAGTCATTGAAGTTACTTGATCAAACATTAAAATTGTTTAACAAAATGAAATTTCTGCAAAACCATAATGCTCTCTAGGTTGCTGAGAATATCTAGAAAAATTCAGGAAATCAAACTTTGAAAGAAACAATTTTCTTTTTTAGAATTGAGAAGTTCATTATTTGGAGCCTGAAAAAAAAAAGAGCCTCCACCCAAAGCGAGACCGAGGTAACTAGTATATGTTCAGCTGAGGATGCTAACAGCTTAAAGTTTTGTAATAGATGGCCGTTAATGTGGTATCAGGAAAAGTCCTCCTGAGTTCAAACCTCACCGCCACCCAAATAAATCTAGCAACACATGAGGGACTTGTTAGAGGATACAAAGGATTAATTTACATCCTCTTTAAATGCTAAACCTTTTGAAGTAGATGGTGGTTTACATGATTTGCATTTCCTTAATAAAAAATAAAAAGTCCAAATGCATGACCAGATAAATCCATGTAAAGACCAAACCCTAATTTCCCGGCTCCTGCCTAACATGAAACATTTGCGATCCTATGATCAGACAAGAACTACAAAATTTCAGCATCTGTTCTATTAACTGAACCCAGCACAAGAAAACCACAAATAAAATACTAAAATTCAGCCCCACACAACAGAAATCAACAATTCCTATAAGCTCAAAGTTATGCAAATCAGCTGTTTTTTACGCCAGATTCTCTCAAATTAAAGCAGTAAACCAAAACAATCATATAGAAATGTCCACGTATAACACAGAGAAACCCTAATAATCTGAAAAAATAAAAAATTTGTGATCCAAAGACTTCAAAAGAGGCGAAAAGTACCTTGATCGAGAGGGCTTGATTGGGCGATTCCGATGGTGAAGTCTTCAAAGACAATTGCACAGCGAAGGTAAGGAAAATGGAGTGAGTATACGACAGCAACCCTTTCCGTGGAAGACACTCGGGAAGACTAGAGAGATAGGAGAGAGAGAGAGACTATATAACAGAGAAGACGAAGAAAGAACAACAGTGAATGAATGAGTAGAGCTGGTCTTCGTCGCTCATTTCTTTTCATCTGGGAAGACTTTGAGTGTGGTCACTCATACATTAGTTTCTACACTTGGCTTCTTATAAAAAGTGGGGCCCATTGATGAAGTCTACCAAACTTATCACGAAATTGTGGCCGTTGAATGGGAGGAGGGATAGAGGATGTGGAAATGTGATTGGTCAATGATGAACTTTGGAATTCGAAGTCATTTAAGTGGGATCTTTTTGGCTGCCTCACGACCAGTAAAAATATGCCACGCGTAAAACAGTGCTTAAAATACTGTTATTATTATTACATGATATCGGACTCATCACTTAGACACATCTGTGTCAAAATTTTATTCAGTTGATTTGATGAAGTGTTGGTTTGTCACTCACGACTATATAATAAATTCTCGTTATTCAGAATATGAGAACTATATGCAAGAGGTTGTATGGATGAATGAACAGGAATCACAAACGGAGTTGGGGAACTCTAATCCCATCTTAGCTTTCCATATTTTTGTTCAAAATTATTTAATGAAACAAAATTTTAATTATTATAATTTTTTTTTCTATGCAAATAAGAAAAAGATTCAAATTATCAATTGAATTTGGCCGGTGTTTTGCTGCTGAGACACTTGGCACTGAAATAGAAGGAACATTGTAAGAAAGCATTTCTTTTTAGTATTTTATTACTCACATTTTGGATTGACTTGCAAACAAAGATGCAATATAACAATAGAAATGCGATTTGAGATAATATATAACTTAGGATTTAAAAGATGCATTGTGCAATCATCACACTTACAATTATTCAAAACATGTTTCATACAAATAATTCTCTTAAAATGTGATTCATTTGTTGATGTACATGTAATTTTTTTTGCTTATTATGTAATAATTGAATAAAGAAAGAAAATTAAGGATGGAATGGAACAAGAATAAAATGGTTATTCTTACTAAAGAGACATTATTCAATGTGTTCCTGTTAATTCAGAATTACAAAGAGTCAATAAAAAACAAACACAACCCCTAACATTTATTATATCTTCTTGGAAAGAAATAAAAAATTAAAAAATAACATCTATTATGTAAATTGGGAAATGGTAATAGAGAGTTGAGATAATGAGATGGATATGTTATACCATTCATTTTAAATTCATTTATATTGTATACGCCTTATATGTCACGTTATTAGTGTATTTATCGTTTTAAATAAAATTGGTCCACCTACTACCATGCTATATTTTATTAAGTGAGTCCACATTATCAACATGTACTTAATTCCGCTCATATTGAGTTTATATCGGGGTGCGTGTGTGTCTTTCATGATAAATTTTTAATATGAGTTGAAAGCAAAGTTGTACATTAGTTAAGAATCAATTCAAGTAATAAATTTACTCAGTAATCAAATTGTCTTTTATTTGTTGTGCTTTCAAATCAGGATTAAGTGGAGTTGATTCTTGATGTCAGCGAATCTAATTTATCACCGACATAAAAAAAAAACACAAAATTAATAAATAATGAACATGGCACTCAGTTTTCGTGCATCACTGTGTTACCTAATATGGATTATAACTTAGGTGATGTTTGATGATCATAAATTGTGTATTTATTTAATTAAGTATATTTGATAAATTATTTAAAAATAAGTCACTTATAATGAAGTAAGATTTTAAATGGGATGACTTCATTTATCTCTTAATAATTACTGTAATACTTTAATAAGTATTAAAGAAAATTAGCACTTAAATATATATATTTTACACAATTCTAGTTCAACTCCAACCCCTTCTAACATTCTCTTTCACTTGAACTCAGCTATTTATAACCGAACCATCTGGCCTCTCATTCTTCTTAATTACAGAGGAACCAATAATGGTTCAGACCCATACTCTATCTAGGTGGGACGTTTAGTATGACATCGGATCAATGACAAGTTTAGTTATAGTATCAATAGAATTTGACCTATAAGTAAGCTATTAGATAGTATTGCATATCTATTTATATATGTATGCCCAAATCATTCTCCATTCGGATTTGATGTGGAATAGTTCTCCTGTCACACTAGACTGGCTAACAAATTTGCACTTGAGCGTCGGATTCAAATTGCTTCTGATTATATAGGCATGATCCATTTGTCCCATGATATTCAAGTAGGACTCTAATAAATATATATATATATCTCGATTTGGATCAAATTATAAAGCTAAAACATTATTCATTTAATGCTTATCCACATCCAGATTCAACTGATGATAGATCATCGAGGTTCGGTTAGTTATACAGAAATAACAATAGAGAAAGTTTTGAACAATTGATAAGATTGGTTAGCAAGATTATGATTTTTTTTTTCTTTAGAAAAAAAAAAAAAAAAACCTTTTTATAACCACTTAACTTTTTCATGAAATTTTCTTATTAAAAAACACCATTTTTTTAATTTCTTAGAAAGTTTTATAAACTTACAATAATTATCTTTCTTAATTTCTCCTAATTTTTCTTAAAAAAATTTCATGTCTACGGATGGAAAATTTATTTTATTTATCTTTTATTATTATTTTTTCAGTATTTTATTTTACTTCCACTCTCACTTTCTATCTTTAATTTTTATTTAATCAAATAAAATTTCACATTTGAAGGAAATTTTTGTGCTACCCTTTGCTAACTTCCTAAGTAGTACCCTAACCAATGATATGTTTTTTTTCTTCCCGAAATCACAACATATCTGATTAAGCACAACTCAACCTCCGGTTTCATTTGAATTTAAATTTTGAGTTTTGGTAAATTTGAATCTAACTATGGAAATATTATTCACTTCTCTTTCTCACTCTCTAGTTTGTGTTTGTGGGCTTGATTTTTAGTTCAGCAAATCGAATGTCGCTTTGATTCAATTGGTTGCTGAGCAAATGTTGGAAAAGGTAAGCAATTGAAGTTTTGAATGTAGGGTACTTTCATATTTTTTAATTCCGTTTTTGTATGTGTGTGTAATTTTATATAGAACAATTTCCAGAAACAGTTCGTGCATACCCCATCTCTATATTTCTTTATATTTTCAATTGTTGTTTGTTGCTGCAATATTTTGCGACTCACCTTTATGAATGGATTTTGACTGTATCTTTAAGCTTCATTCACATCTGAAGTATTCATAATGAAATTTGAATGACAAAAAAATTTGTAGGGTTCTGATGACGAATTCAGTTGTATACTTTTTGCAGCAGTTCGAGAATTCTTCCCCAACTATATAATTGTGTACTTTGATAGTCTTTTGCATTTTAGCTTTTGGGGGCATTATGTGGTGTATCAATTTATTTGGTCATTTAGGGTTTCTCTTGAGTCTGGCTTTGTCACCAATTGTAAAACTTTTGCTGTTTGTTATCCTAAAGTGTTGAATGTACAATTGCTCGTATCAAAATGGGGGATTGGATGAAGCTTTATTAAGATTTTATTACACATTCTTGAATCAAACTAAGGCTTAATTACTAGGAAAGGGGCAAAAGATCGAGCATATATATGCAAACTCACATTACACTAGTAAAAGGGCAATGCAAGCAGATGTAGCAATCCTTCCATCGGAGTTACCTCAATGTAAGAGGGTCTTGGTACTCCGGTTAGGACTATAGACCTTTATGTTGGAATTTGGGTTTGGATCCAAACCGGGGCGAGCGTGAGTGTGCCTGACCTAGTTAGGATGATCCATCTCAGACCTGTCACCTTATCGGTTGGTTGGAGAGAGATACTTGGGGGTATTTCATAACCGCCACCCCCGGGATATTAAAGATTTTTCTCGGTTGTAAGTCTACTGTACCGGGAATTCCGGGGAAATAGTACCCATAACCGCTAGCCCTGGGATATTATAGATTTTACTAGGAACAGCAGTTCATGACTTTGCTGCTGGTGGAGTTGACGAGATAAGTTGACTCTTAGTGACTATATGCATGGCTGGCCTTTTCAAATGATGTTGCTGGTTTTTGAATTATGAGACAACAGGGGATACTTACTTTTGGATTACTTCTTTCTAGTAGAAAGTGGGAATCTGATGTTTTCGTGTGCTTGATCATGAGATGTCTTCAAAGAAACCAAGTCGGGACCTCATCATATACATGTTTAGAATTAGGTTTTTGCCATTTGATGTGTGCCTTGTTTTTGTTGTCTTCTTGGAAATCCTCCTTTTTGGTGAGTTCAGGCTTTTGGCTGCTTTGGTGGATGTGTCGTTGATTAATTTTTTGGTTTTCCTTTATTGCAGCTAAATCTGATGGGATAGGAGGTTGATATTGAATACAAAATAGACGGCTGGTTTTATACAAGTATGCAGAAAGAGGGAGAGTTGGGGGAAAAGTTAAAACATAAAAAGAAAAAAGGGATCACATCTTTTTAGCTTCTCAATACCCCCACATTGCCACAGAGTAGTGATTATCTTCGCAAGCTGCTAGTCGAATGTGTGTCCATAGGTGTATGACCCAATTTGAATTGCCAGAAGGGTTAGTTTTGCATGTTTTTGTTGAGTGTGTGAACCACCAAGCCTAAATCTCACTTTGGTAAGCTACTTTGCTTGCTTGAAAATGAAGTGGTCACGCTGTCAAGTTTTTTGCTGGTGGCTAGGAACTTTCGGGGAATCATGCTGTGGCTGGTGGGACTAATGTGTTGGCATTTCACGCTCGTGTTGCAGGTGAAGAGAAAAGCCTTGGGAAGAATGGGAAAATGGTTGGAGTGGTCTCCATTCTCTATGTTTATTGATCTTGATATTAATGATATACTAACAGCAAATTCAACTGATCACTCACACCTTGCTTTGTTATAACTTATTACAACAAACAAATCTGATCTTTCCAGTTAAATCCACAATCATGCATTATGCAGAAACTTGGCTTATATTATTATATTCAGTAATAGAAAAGACCAGTGACAAAAGGTCTATTTTGGCTGTCTGCTCACCTACATCTCTCAGGACCTGCTTTCCAATTTTATTTTATTTTATTTTTTATTATTATTATTTTTTTTTTTTGTGTGTGAGACTCAGAGAGTTCAGCAGCAGAATTAGTCAGTGCT